TCAGCTCACCATGGCCTTGACTCCGGCATGGGGGACAGCCTTTCTCTGCACGGCATCGGGCACCCGGGGATGGAGGAGGTCCAGGTAAGGCAACGCGCTTCTTCCTCTATGGGCGATGCTTTCCACTTGGGAATGGTTTTGGTGTGGGTTAAAAGGCTTTTTTTTTTTCTTTTTTTCTTTCTTTTTTTGTTGTTGTTGTTTTGGTATATCTATCTATTTATTTATTAATTTTTATGATATTGCCCCTTCCCTCCCCCAGTTCATTTTTATTTTTTGCTTTTTCCCTGTTAATCTGTGTGTTCGAGGCGAGTTTATTTCATAGCTGTCACGCACGGGGTCTGCTTTGCCAACTGTCTGCTGCAAAGAGCAGAGTGCGTTGGGGCAGGCAGGCTCTGCTCTCTCCACGTGCTTCCAAAGCTGGCAGGGTTGAAGCCTGGCTTTTCAAATCTCAGCTATTTCCCATGCAATCTCAACTCCCCCTCCACCCCCCACGCTAATTTCCTTCACTCCAGGGACTTTGATGAAACTGTCAAATTACCACTTTACTTTTTTTTTCCTTCCATCCGTGAATATCAACAGAACCCAAATCGAGAGGGGTTATCGGAACAGAACTGTCTCCATCCCTCCTTTTTTAAGCACAATTATTAGGGTAGCATTGATTTTACGTAGTTCGGTTCGCTCCTTTGGATGACAAAGGAGTTTCACGGCGAGGAAAGCGCAGCATTTCCCAGCCTTCCCCCATCCCACGCGAAACTCATCGTCACGTGTTGTTTCCTAAAAACAAAGTGACCCTTAACAGCTTCGGTGCTGGGGCGGTTGGCACCTTGCTGGAACAGGGCACGGCCCCTTGATGGGGGAAGGAAAAGGGTGGGAGGCTTCAGCCTCCGGCATCGGGCTTCAGAAAGTCAGGGTTTGGGGGGTTGCCTTTCTTTCTTTCTTCCAAGTTTATCTATCAGAGATACGAAGAAGATACGTATTAAAACTTGGAATACGCAAAGGAAGGGATGAGGGAACGAGGCGTAGACTGAAAAGTTATAGGCAAGGGGAAAGGAAGGAGAAAATAAGAGAGGAAGAATAGCAGAAAAGGATCCTAGTGAACATCAGTGACAGAGAAGCAGAAGGGATATATGGCATCAGCCTAAGGACTGTCTAAGGGCTGCAAAACAAAAAACAAAAAAAACCCTTGCTTGGCTGGGAATGAGGACTTCATGACCAGGAAGGTTTTATGCTCGGTTCTGCTTCTGCCTCCGAGCTCCATGACCGACGGGTCATTGGTTTCTGCGGGTTTCTAAGCTGGTTTGGGAGACCTGAGGGTAGTCTTGAGCCCCACGGGAGCGGTGTGCAGGTCTCGGCTCGCATTCCTCTACGAATGCAGCAAGAGGCTCTGCTCCCTCTGCCCTTCTCTCGCTCAGCAAGCGAGAGGCGTTAAGTACTGTTTGTGCTTTGATATTTATACCTTCTCCAAATAAAAGCCGGTAATTGTTGGCTCTTGTGAGAAAGAGAGAGAGGGGAAGAGGGGAAGAAAGGGGGAAAGGAGGGGAGGGAGAGGTAAAAGAAAGAGAAGGAGAAGGGGAGAGAGAGTGAGAGAAAGAAGAAAGAAAAGAAGAGGGATGAAGGGAAGAAAAAGGAAGGTAGACAGGAAGGACAGAAGGAAGAAAGAGAGAAAAACTTCAGGGAGGGATGGAAAAAGGAGAGAAAGAGAGGGGGAAAAAAAAAGAGAGAGAGAGGGAGAAGCTCTGAAAAGCTCAGATCAGCAGCTTTTCCCCTCTTCCTTAATGAAACATCCCCGCGGCTCCGAGCTCAGCCTACTGCTGCCGCACACGGGCTGCTTCCCCGGCTGGGGTAGGGATGGGGAAAGGGGAGAAGCAGCTGTGGCTGCGGGCTGAGCTGTTTGCTCGGGATGCTGAAGGCACCGGGAATGGAAGCGGTCCCTTCTTTGTAAAAGTTTGGTGGCAAACTGAGGGAGGAGGGGAAGAGGGAGAGGATATCCCAAGGAGAAGCACGTGAAGGGAGAAGTGTCCAACTGCAAGTTAGAGCAGGCAGAGGGGAAAGCAGCCCAGTCCTCTACTACTGTTCGGCATTTTCTATTCTTGTCCCCCCTCCCTACCAACGACAGATGAAACCGGGCAATTTTCCACCGAAAATTTTATTACGGATCAGGTTCTGCTCGGGCTATGAGGATTCCCGTTATTATCCAAGAAAGTGTTTCCAGAAATGGTCCCAACCCTTTTTTTTTTTTTTTTTTTTAAATTTAATGAAGTCCTAAAAGTTGAACTGCCATAAGGTCAGACAGATGAAGACGTGTATCTCTGCTTTAGCTTACGCACCTCTGATTAAATAGATGCCATGGGAAAGGGTTGGGCTGTCAAGGGAGAGAAGAGAGAGGAGGGGAGTGCGTGACAGAAAGAAACAGTGGTTATTATATAAACACCAAATCCAGGCCATGTGTAAGCCATTGTCCAGGGCTAGAATTAAGTGACTGCAACACGATAGCTCTCTGTTATTGTAAACAGGACGTATTGTATTGCTATTGCTGCCCCTTTCGAGAGGAATTCTCAATCTGCCACTGACGGCCAAAGGGAGGAGAGAGCCAAGACCTACTTTTGGAAAACAAATTTGCATTATTTCACAGCGGCGCTGGAAAATGCCACTGCAACTCCAGATGATCCTTATTTCTCTTCACCATTTAGACCAAAGCAGGGCTCTACTAGAAATAGATGGGGAAACGCTGTGCACAGGGGAAAATCCAGGCTTAAAGGAAAACAGGGTTCTTTAGGATTTCCTCTCAGATATTTCCCTTGCTGTTGGATAAGGTGTAGGTGTATATACATGCCACATGTACATATATATATATATATATGGGATATTTATGTATCTATGTGGCATGTATACGTACAGTATGTCTGGCATATATATATATATATGGTATGTGCATATATATGACGTGTGTATTCATGTGGCTTCTCTACATATATATGTGTACTTATATATGGTATAAAGGAAGCTCCATGCTATGGGAGTATTGGCAGAGGGGAGAGAAGGCAGTCTTCCTCTCTCAGTTATATCAGGGCCCCCATCACCACCACACAGCCCCCCTCAACCACACATCTCCACTTCTCCTCCTCCCCACGCTCACGGCCGTCCCCTCCTGTGTACCAGCAAGAGGCACGGAAAGTTGAGTTGCACACCAAAAAACACCCAACTCTCTTATAAAGTAACCCCTGGTATCACTTTTAACTAAAGAAGTCTAGTAATTAAAAGTCTGAGTTGTTTTTCCACGTTTCCGCATGCAGTCCTAATTAAATCTTTACGATCCTCTCTGTGACTATTAACTGCCAGCATGCTGAGCGAATATCCTGTACAAAAACCCAGCAGGAGGGCGTAATTAGATAGAAAATCAGACAGGAGTCTTCTCATTAACTACAACAACTAACCCACGTTGCTGATGGAGCGAGCGGAGTGCACGCACGCACATAAAGCGTGTGCACAGTCCTATACCCCAGAGATAAGGTGAGAAAAGAGAGGAGGGGGGGAGGAAGGACAGGGAGAGAAGATGGCGTTTCGTATTTACCTCCAGCTCTGCGCCATCGAGTCGCAAGGCGCAGGACTCCGGCAAGCTGCAGGATTTGCTCATCATCCCTCCTCGGCAGCTGCTGAGGGAAAGGAGGGAAGAGTTTGTAATTGTGTGTTGTGCCCTTTAGGTATGCGGGCTATTGATTAGGGGAGAGGCTGAGCCACGCACGGTGTGAGGAACAGCCTTGTGAATGCGCTTTGGAGCTCACGGTGCAACGAAAGCAGTGGAAAGGTCCATGGGAAAAATTGCTCCATCACCTTTTTTTTTTTTGAGGGGGGAGATGCGATTTTCTCCTAAATCGTATCAGGGTTGGAAAGTTGGAGATAAGGGCTGAGGTCGGATGAGCTCAGCTTCTCGGTGAAGCCGATATGAAGTCGAAATAATAGGGAAGGGAATCGCCGATCTGTTGAAAAGACGTTTTCCTTGTGGAAAAAATATATGTAGGTGTGTGTGGGAGAAGTTCTTAAGGATGGCATACCTTGAAAATTAAAAGGAGAAATTAAAAAAAAAAAAAAAAAAAAAGGAAAAAAAAGGAAAAGGAAAGGAAAAAAAAATCTGGGTAGAAAGACAAAAAACAAATAACAAATGAAGGAGAAAAAAAAAAGAAAAGAAAAAAAACCCAATAAGTTTAAAAAGCACACACAGGTCCTCCTTCCACCTGAAACCCGGAGTTCACCCTAAAGCGGAACCTGTGGCAGCTCCGCAGTGAATTGCCCTCTCCACGCTGCTCTGATGGAGGTGGTTTTGCTGCACCGAACTCTGATTTGCGTTGGTTTGCAGTCGTGGACCAAACCATCAAGCTGAGATAAGCGACCCAATGTGGGCTCTGCCCCTCTTTGTTCTTTCCCCTTCCCGAGAGCCGTAATAACAGGTGTGCTCCGACAGGGACCCAAAAGAGCAACAAATCGTAAAAAGGGATATTTTTTTTTGTTTAAGGGGGATCGGGGGGACTTTTTTTCTAGGCAATCAATTTCATAGCTGGTACTTTTGATAAGGCATAACCCCGCTCGGCCCTCCCGGCCCACAAATTGGGAACCCCGGGAGCTGTAAACCCCTTTCTGCTCACACCCTACACGAAGTGGGCGTTGCGCTGCTCTTCAAATCGCCCAGGCTTTAATTAAAAGTCCATAACGCAAACTATTCTATGTAAGAAGTAAATGGCCCTTGAATTATTAAGATGTAGCGGGGTTAAGCAAACAAACAACACGAAAATAGGAGAGGTGGAGGAGGAGGAGGAGGAGGAGGGGGGAGGGGAAGAAAGGGGAGGGAGAATTGAAGTTGTCCTTAATCGTGTTCATTTATGCCATGCAATAGATCTTGCAGATGTTGCTAAATTGCCGGATTTTCAAAGGGAGAAATGTAAAGCTTTCTGGCATGCAAAGAAGTCCATGAGATAGCCACGGTTTTATAAGATAACAAAACCAATATTGCGCCCCATATGCTTCACACCTTCTTTTTTTTTCTTTTCTTTTCTTTTTTTTATTAGCCGACTGTATAATTTGTAAGAATTTCATTTCCTTGTCGTTTGGGGGGAATAATAATAACAATAATAGGACTAAAACTCCCTCCTCCCCTAGTGAATTAATATAAATGGAAATAACAGCAACCCCAGTTTGGGATGACATGATTTATGTACGCGGTTCTTTAATATCCAGTCAATTTGAATAGAGATGTTTTTATATCCACAGTCAGTTGAAGATGCCAATAACAGCGGTATGAACTTATTGGACCAGTCTGTCATTAAAAAAGGTATGGATTATTCCAACGAGCTAGACAAACTTTTACAGTGTGGCAATACCCTCGTGATAGATATGTGTGTGTATATGTATATATATTTTACTTCGGGACAATGAATGGATCCGGGAAGGAGGAGACAGCAAAATGAAACGCTGATTGGGTCTTTAGATAGAGCGAAGGGGGAAGGGAAGGGAAGGGAAGGGAAGGGAAGGGAAGGGAAGGGAAGGGAAGGTCGATCTCCCCCCTTCCTCCAATCACACCCTCAAATGGGGCACCCCATGCTGTCCCTCATCCCCAACAGTCCTCCATGGGGATCGCGTGGCTTTATACGTGGAAGAAAAAAAGAAAAAGGAGGGGGGGGGGATGTTGACTCCACTTTTGGGCTCCAGTACATCTCCCAGGCGGGTGGGAGGTGGAAGGGAGAGAAAGCAATGCCTGTGGAAAGCAGTTCTGCCTTCTTTCCCTCCCCCCCAACCTCCCCTTCCCCCTGCCTATTTTTTAAATCTCCCTACATATGCGCACATGATTTAGTGTAACTGCAGAATCACCCCATACTGTTAAAGGGAATGTGATATTAACAAATGTTTGCAGTCTCTCGTACAGCTGTAAGCAAAATAATTAACTAATTAAACTAATTAAATGTAATTACAATAACTCATTTCGGGCGTAATGCAGCTGCTTAATTTTTTTTTACATTTCTCTGACAGTCACTGGAAGATGCTTGGCGATTAGTGTTGTGTTATGCTGGTAGACATTAAACAGATCCCACACTGCAAATGTAGGGGAAGCTATCTTTAATTATCTAAGGAGTTTCTATTTCTAGATTCAATTTTAAGTACCAGAGACGAGGCTTAGAAACGCTGGCCCTTATGCTTACGATCAGCAGAGCTTATCTCCGGGACCTTATGATTTGTCAAACCCTCAGTGCAGCTACAAACACTTAGGATCTCGTAGAACCCAAAGCAAAATAATCGGAGTGTTTATAGTGTTTATTTAAAACTCGTTCAGGGCAGCGTGAGGTCCTTCCGTTGTGTTTATTGTTTCTTGTTTCAACCCTCGTGCGCCTTTACCACGAGCTTGCAGTTGGTTGAGGGATGAAAACTCCAAGATCGTTTGCGGCCACCGGTTGGAAACGTCGAAGAGGGAGAGACAAAGAATTCCTTGCTTAAAGGGAAAGGCGTTAGTTCGGCTTCTGTGCTTTGAGTGGGTGTTGCGGTCAGGATTTGCAACCTGACGGCTCCTGGTGGTGTTTTTCCCCTTCTCTCCTCTCTATTCTCCATCCTCCTCACCCCGCTTTGCTGCCTCATGAGCGATGTTTCCTCGTGGGCGTTGTTTGATTAATTGGTGGTTGATTTGCGGTCGGGAGCCTCCTTTATAACGCTGGGCCGCGCTCGCACTTTCGTTACGCAGCGTTTAAACTTCTCCCCTCCTCCCCCCCCCCCCCCCCCCCTCACCTCCATACCCCTCTCCCATTCAGATCCTGCACGGATTAAGGACAGGATGAGATGTGCCCGTTGTGCCTCGAGCAGCAGAGATGGGCACCGCGCGGTGCCATAGGGAGAGATACGCTGAGTTCTTACCGGCGTTACACGTGCGCTTTGGAAATCAGATTACTCAAAGGCACCGAGATCCATCTCCTGCTGTGCTAAAGTGGTTGCGTTTTGTTCCTAATGAATCTCGCCAGCAGAAGGGCACGGTGTGGGTTCCGCTGCGAAGTGGGAGCTGAGTGAAGGGTAACGTTTGGGGCAGGCAGTGGGGAATGGAATCATAGAATCATAGAGTGGCCTGGGTTGCAAAGGACCACAATGCTCATCTAGTTTCAACCCCCTGCTATGTGCAGGGTCACCAACCAGCAGACCAGGCTGCCCAGAGCCACATCCAGCCTGGCCTGGGGCCAGAGGAGTGGCACATAGAGGCTTCCATCCGAATTTCACTTTGTTCCCTGTGCTATGAGAGCTACTTTGGAACAAGAACAAGTTATTTAAACTCTGTGAACGGTTATTGCAGGCGGAGGATGCAAAGAGTTATGGGTTGGAGCACTCCTCGTGTTAAGTATTTACTAAATAAGCAACAGAGGAGATCTATTTCGCCCAAACGTAGCATAGCTCCTAAAATGCTTTAATTAAACTGTAGTGAAAAGAATACAACGTGAACTCGAAGCATCAAGTTAATTATATCATCCAGGCTGCGCGTGCCTCCTTCTTTATGGACTTTGAGGCCTGCAGAGGGAATTATCTATCCATCAATGCAAAGGGATTGCCAAAAATATTAAGGAAATCATAAAGGGATTCATAGGCAGCTATCGATTTATCTCGCGGATCGATCCTGCACGATGGATCCCTCGTACGCGGCCCCTTGTTATGTTTGCTATCTGAGCTTACTTGACATTTCTGAAGTAATTTAGTTAAGAGGAAATGAGTTGTTCCCAGTAGAGAGAGCAAACGAGTGGAGTGAAGGTAGCCAGCGTGATAAATGGCTCTTTCATTTGGAGATCTCCAGAGCTCGTTTAAGGCTAATTTTCTGTATTAGCCCCCTTTGAGCTATTAATGCAATAGGCAGGGACCGTGGCCCCTCATCTCTTAGCTGCCCCATTAGAGCGAGCATTAAGCTCCCAAGCCTGAGCTCTGCTGCGGTGGTGGCGAAATAATGAAAGGTGCTTTTAAAACTCTCCTAATCTAAGCTGGCAGAGGGTGGTTAATACGATTTGAAGGGGGCTGGTCAATGAACAATCAATAAACTAATAATGAGAAGGATTCGGTACATTAACAGTCTCAAACTCCAACGAGACATTAAAAAATCATCGTTCACTCCTAGTCCCATTAAGATTTGGGTGGTGGGAGTGGGAAGGAGGGAGCCGGATAAATCATCTAGATGATGACAATCATCAAGGGAACGAATACCAGATTTTAACTCAGCCCGAAGAACTTACTGGCTGCAGGTTTGGAGGCCTTTCCCTCCGTTTCCATTGCAATGAAGGGCAGGTTTTCCAAGTGTCGGCTCCCTTCGTCATCTGCTCATCTGAAATTCGCTTGGCACTCTCTATAGCAAAATCAGTCGTCGTCGCTCAAATCCCTGCGTGGCCCGAGCGAGAAGTTAATTTTTAGTGACTCTGGGGCACAGTCAGTGACCTTAACGTTATCCCCATGTATTTATTTACTTTCAGCTATTTCTGAAGCCTGGCCTTACCTTCGCATCAGATTTAGCACGAAGGGCCGTTTTAACCTCTTTCATTGTCTCCTTGCTGACACGCTCTCTTAACGACATTGTTTTAAGGAGAGATATGAAAGGAGCTCTCTTAACTTTGTTTTTCCCAAATAACTTCGAGTCGAGCAGAGCTCCTCCCCACCCCCCTCTTGAAGTATCCAGCAATAAATGATTAACTGAAAACCACTCCGGACACAGCCTTCCAGATGATAGATCTGGGAATCTGCGCCTTTTCTCGGGCTGCCCATTGAGCCTTGAGATTCCTTTTTAATTTAACGCACAGCAATTTCGGAGGGAATATGTTTCACTTTGAAACGTACTCCGGCATCCAGGGGGAAGGGGAGCGATGAAGAGAAGACAGGAATAAGAGGGAAGGGGACATTTACACTCTCTGTATTTGCTCATTAAGTCTTAAGTAATGATTGGGTCTTTAGTGGCAGCGGGCAGTCATTGTCCCTCTGTTTGGCGACAAAGGCGGATCCAATCACCAGGAACAACACAGCATTGCTGCTCTGATGGACTTCTTGCTCACTTCACACCCAGTAGGCAGATTAAAGGGGCTGAGGGCTGTTTGACACCTCTTCAGTAATTAGTTCGCCCGCGCTGTTGGCTAATAAGACATACTAATCGCCATGGATTGTTCCATTAATTGATTGATTGATGCATCGGCGATCATATTATTTTGCAGCGTTACTGCGGCGATGTCCGCAGCTCAGAGCTCCTGCTTCTTTTCTTCTTCTTCTTCTTCTTTTTTTTTTTTTTTCAGCTATTTCCAGGCCACGATTCTATTTATCCCTTCAGTTTGAGTGGTGCCAAAATGCCCTTTTAGTGCCATTTACGCTCCTACGTGCGCAATTTCGCGCGTGTGCGGAGCGCAAACCCACAGGAAATCACCACCAGCACAAAATAAATAAATAAAAAATAAAATTAAAAAGAAAAAGGAAAAAAAAAAAAAAAAACCCAACCCCTAAGACTTAATGTATGCACAGAAAATTGTAAACATGTAAAGAACTGAAAGCTTCACGCTGAGTTTCGCCATGCTCCATTTCCCCACCATTTCCTGCTGTCGTTTTAAAGCGATCTCGCTCATCTAGAGATCCCGTTTGCAGGAACAGTATGCTTATAATTACTAACAAATCAAGCGGCTACTGTTGCTCTCCCGCTTTATTGATAAGCTGAAGAGAAATGGAAAGGGAAGGGATGACAAAGAGGGTGGAAGTCATCACGGGGTGTGAAGGAGGGAGGGAAGAAATGGAGGAATGGGGAGGAAAATAGATGATTTGAGAAGGATGAAAGATATGAGAGCGGTCACGCCTGTAATTAAACAGAGTTTTGGAGCGCAGGGACAAGAAGAAGTAAATCAGTGGTTGGGGGGGGGAATAAATAAATAAAGTTGAAGCGGAGGTGGTGGGGACGCTGTGCAGGAGTTGTGTGTTGTTCTGTCAGCAGGCAAAGCAATCCCTGAGCTACGGGGAGGCTGAAAATCACCTCCCGTTACGGTGCGCATCGGTTTGCACGCCCGCGGGGCTGTGACACGCGCAGTGCACACGCGGACGCGTGTGGCCGTTCTGTTCTCTCTGCCTACAGCCGGAAAGCGACAGCCCACCATAAACATACAGATACGATGTAGATAGCGATAATTCATTCCGTGGCAAACACGGGCTGGGTTTTTTTTTTTCCCTTTTTTTTTTTTTTTTTTTTTTTTTTTTTTTTTTGAGGGAGCATTAGGTAATTTACAGAAGATACAGAGCGTAGATAGAACACATCTCTCTGAAGCTATGAAATCGCGATAGATATGCTTGCACCGCCTGGAAAAAGCTTGTAGAATGGGATGGGTGTTATTAAGGCTCCCAGCTGTGTTCGCGCAATACTTTTAGGGGAGGGGGTGGCACCGCTGGGAGCAAAGGGGCTCAGCAGAACAGGGAAGGAGCCTGACTGCTCACCGACAGCAATTCGCAGGGGAAAATCAACCCCCCGAGCACGTGAAAACCCCTATTTCAGAGGTTAACAAACGTGGGAAGTGGCACGACGGGCGGTGTGGGGTCTCTTGAAAGCGTCGCAGGGGTAAATCTCTCTTTACTGAGTTTAGACTAAGATCAGATGGCCGCGGAATTGTTGCCTCTTGTTTAATTTCTCAGTTCATTGGACAGTGACCTGATAAAGCGGTCACTAAATATAGCCCCGGTAGAAAGAGGTGAGCCCGAACCACCGAGTCCATGCGTTTGTCCGGAGGAGGAGAGAGAAAAACAAAACAAAACAAAACAACAAACAAACCGACAACCAACCAACCAAAACCAGTGATGAAAATCCATTTGGTGTGGCAACGCATGAATCCAACTCTTTTTTCACTTTGTCTTGATGGTGTGCTCGCATGATTCTGCAGAGCACTGCATGTGGCATATACGGTACATCTACATATAACGGGGGGCAAGGCAGTCTCTCGCTTTTATTCTTACTACCCCGAAGGAGTCTCTTCCTATAGAATCAACGGCAAAAATCCCATTAAGAGCAAGGAAAGGCCTCTAAGTCTCTTGTAACTGTTACTGCGCCGATCTCCAACTCTTTGCAAACGCTTTTATGAGCTGCATAATGTGCCCAACTAAAAATAATAAATAGGAATCCGTTTCACTTTCCGATTCCCCGAAGTAAAGCCACTCCGAATAATTTGTTTATACTGGGGACTATATAGAAGCAATACGTATATCTGAAATCGACATGCCTTTTGGTTTTTAGCTGTTATAGGGTTTTTATTGTGGGGGTCTGGTCTGGCGGTAGGAAATGATCTGTAATAAAAACAGTGCAATACGGTTGTGTCTATTCCATACGCTGAGGTTATAAAATTGGCAATTGCCCAGTAGTTAGCACTTGGTAATATATTAGGATACCCGATCTTATTGTTTAGCAACTCCAGACGACTTAAATATCCCCTCAACCCTAATGGTTTGATTCTCCAGATATGTCGCAAATAAACAGGGTTTTTATGGCTAATAGCCGGCATATGCGCAGAAATCAGAGCCCTCTGATTTGCCGGATGGGTTTCGCAATTGATTTGAGTGGGAAAACGGCAAGAGGCCGAAGCGGTATCAGCGCTGCGTGAGGGTCTGTAATCAATTCAAGCGTTCTCCTCCGCGGTCGCGGAATTCTCTCCGCGCATCGCGGTTGCGACGATCCGCGAGGAAGCAGCGGTAGCAGCTGTCAGCTCTTATTAACTCCTACATAAAACATACCTTAAGTACGGTTTGTTATCAATTACTCGCCGAAATGAAGCAACTGGGAAAAGGAAAGGCGAGGCTCCCTATAAATTAAAGCGATTGGTTGATTGATCAGCGCACCTGCCGTAAATCAGAGCGGTTGCGCGCAATTACGAGCGAGCGGTTGAAGTCCATTGGCAAACAAACGGCGGCCCATTGCTTGTTGCTGTTTGTTTTTGAGCGGCTCTAGATGCCGTTATGGGGATTTGCTGAGTCTGATTTCCTTTGGTCTTAACACAGCTCTCGTTTCTCAGAGCGATGGGGTACGTTGGTCGTGGGTGGGATAAAAAGTTTCTATTTTGTTTTGGTTCGTCTTTTTTTCTTTATTATTATTATTAACCTTTCCTAACTTCCTTTCCATAACTTCTAGTCCTCCCTTTGGAGGGCTGGAATTTGATGATCCTTGAGGTCCCTTTCGACCTAACCCAACCTTTTCTATGATGATACATAATACTGCATCCAGACTTCCTTTCAGTAGGAACAGATGAGTTCCCACTGCTTTCAGGACAGCACAACGCGGTTCAGTTGGTGCACGTCATGATTAAAACCGAGAATTTATTTTTCCGCTGTTCATCTTTTTCTATTTTTTTTTTTTTTTATCAGAAGGAAAAGGCTCGTTTTGTTTCATAAACCAGACTTAATAAAAACACAAAGCAATAACAGAGCTGTCTTCTGGTTGCTGTATCCTCCAGCCTCCACACTTATTTAAGGCAGCAACTCCCTCAGTGTAGTGAATTTATTCCTGGCTCGGCTTAGAAGTAATGGGAAACATGAGCGAAAGAAGTAATTCTTTTTCTTTCCCTGCAAAGCGTCAGGTGCTGTCAGCTGTACAAAAACAAGGGGAAGGGGGAAAGGGAGGGGAAGCGAGGGACGAAGAACCCAAAGTTGCCAAATACTTCAGACGTGTTGTATTTCTCAAGCCTTCACAGAGGCTGTGCTGCATCGCCATCCTTGTTATTATCACATTCCTTGTTATCCTCACTCCGCGGGGGAGGGGGGGGAAACAGCCCCTTTTAGTTTGCTGTAGAGCTGAAAAGTTCCCTTTCGTTTTGCTCTGCTGTGCGTGTTTGAGTGCGTTAACGCTATGCTGTTCGTTTCTTCCCCTCCCTTCCTTTTTCTTTCTCCAGTTCCAGTCCCTCCAAAATCCGTTACTTCTTTGATGATGAATAAAGATGGCTTCCTGGGTGGAATTTCGGTCAACACCGGAGAGGTGTTCTGCTCTGTCCCCGGCCGTTTGTCTTTGCTTAGTTCAACTTCCAAGTACAAAGTAACAGTGGGAGAAGTTCAAAGGCGCCTTTCTCCCCCCGAGTGTCTGAACGCATCCCTGCTAGGAGGAGTGCTGAGAAGGTAAGGGGTTGAGGAGGCTGTGTTACAGTGAGGGTAAGGTGGAAATACTCTGTATTCGGGCTCTGAGATGAATGTAGGGGGAGTGCAGCCAAATCAAGCCCGGTGTAGCTTTAATCAGAGCTTCTCGAAATACAGACAGCCAGCAGCTCGGAAAAGCAGTAATTTGGATTTCCATCCGGAGAGGGTTGCTATCGGAATCCTTCGCTGTTGGTGCAAATCACCTCCTAATTGCCCGGTCAGTGCTGCTGAATACCTCTAAGTAGTTAACATTATCGGTCCTTATTAAGTGAGAGGTAGGGAGCGACCTCCAGGCCTGGGTACCAACCCGATGAGTGGGAGATTGCTCAGTCACTAACAAGAATTCAAGCTCCGAAGTCATCGGCTAGATGAACGCGGAGAATGGGCTTTATCTTATGAAAGACTTAATTGCCAGCGTGATTTTCCTGTAGGAAAGCTGAGCTAAGAACATACATCGACGAGAACAGAAAAGACGTTACGATGGAGATTCTCCCAAGCCAGTGGAAATATGGCAGACTGGGGAATAAGGAGCGACTTCAGGCAGCTCACTGACAAGTATGAATTGGCCCAGAATAAATTTCAGTTTACGCATGGAAGCTGCAAGTCTTAGAGTAGGGAGGATGTTGCCAACTAGTAGGCAAACACACCGTGTTTGTTTGTTTCCTTGCAATTATTACAACACAATTATTATTAATCGTGTTGAGGTCAGGTGCTCTGTGTCTGGAGAAGGGTACCATGCCCCGCTCCGTGCAGTCACCCTATAACACACGTGGGAATGAGGAGCTCCTAAAATAGCTGCTGTTCCACATGAATGTCTGTAATCAATGCTCAGCTGCGATCTGTGCCAGGGAGAGGAGCAGAGGTTTGCTTAGAGACGGCAACCCGCCTGCAAATGGAGCAGGAGGACATCGGAGAGATACAGTGTAGAAAATGTAATTATCAAGGTAAAGAAACCTCATTATAGAGCTTCAGTGGATTACCGGAGATGGCCCAAGCCGTAATCATTGGCTACTGCTGACTTCAGTTCCTATCTTGAATCTGAATTTTAGACAAGCTTTGGTTCAGGGCAGATGAAATATAGGAAGCTGTTCTGCCGTGTACCCCTATTTACTCTGATAGCAAATATTGAGAAGTCAGCCTGCTTTAGAGAAAGCATTGCCGGCTTCCTTTTTGTAAGCGTGACTGCTGAGTCTTAAACATCTGTTAAGTAAGAACCAAGAAGTGCTTGGGATGGTCTGTGACCTCAGTGCCAAAACTCACTGATATCACAGGTGGAAGGCTTCCACCCTTCGAGCTGTACGTACCTAGGGGTGTGTGAACAATAGCTCGGTGTTTCCCACCTATGGCTCGTTTATCCTTTCAGTGTCCTTATCAGTAACCTCCGACAAATATTCACGTCTTCCTTCAGGCACCCAAATCCCCGTGTAGAACGCGGTGCCTCTGGCTGAGCGTTGCCTCTCCGCACGCGTTCACACGGGCACGAAACCGATCCCGAAGTTTCCTCAGTGCTTTCCTCCCATTCTGCCTGCCCGCAGCTCTCCCTTCGAGCATTTTTTTTTCTCACCTTTTCTTCTTATTATACCCGGACTAAACGATTATTTATTTCTCCTCTATCTTTCTGTCCATCCCCACGCTCCATCCTAACAGGATGCCATACAGTAGGAACTCATTTGTTCTCTACCTCACAATCCTCTGCGGTAATTATTGCTAAACGGCATTATTTGATTTCCCTGGGTAAAAGAGGAAGAAAAGTGGGCTCATCCCCACTCCCACCCCTGGGAGAAATTAAGCAAATAGCAGCGAACTCGGGCACAAATCAACACGCTCAGAGTGCCGAACACAGGATGAAAACCTTTTCAGGGCTCCACTGACTGCACAGACTGAACGTTTCTTCCAGGAGCACCGCGGGGCTTAACGATCATCTCGATTTCTTTGCAATTCTAGAGCCAAATCGAAAAACGGGGGGAGATCTTTGCGAGAAAGGCTAGAAAAAATCGGTTTGAATTTACCAGCCGGCAGGCGTAAGGCTGCAAATGTCACTTTACTCACCTCCCTGGTGGAAGGTAAGCGAGGCTCGCAGCTCCCTTCACACCCTCTCCCACCTCGGGGCTGATATTTCGCGAAGCACAAAAGGCTTTGGGGGATCAGGTGGGAAAGCCTCGAGGAGGTGAAACGCAGGGCGGGTTGGAGGAACGCTTGTCAATGATCCCGTCCCCCAAAATGTCCCCGGAGGGGGAATTGGTGGCAAGAATGGTGTATGTTTGTGTGTGTGTATGTGTATGCTTGAGCTAGGCAGTCCCGTTCCTCATTGCTATCAATTACCGGGCTGTGCTCCCTGACTCCACAGTCTGCTCCATCCTCCCGCTAATTCCCTCATCCCGAGTTTATTTGTGGTTGAGGCTCATTATTTGTTGACTCTCAGTGAGGGCAAAAAGTATGTTTGGTGAAAGAAATGATCAGTCGAAGACTTCTGGAGCACAGTTTGCCCTATAGCGAGTGGAACAGGACAAGGACTCAAGCTATTCCCAAAGAAGCAAAGAAGGAAGGCAGGGCTGAAGTTTCATCTCAAGTCACAGGATACCCCGAGTTGGAAGGGACCATAAGGATCATAGAATCCAACTCTTCGTTCAGCTGATGCTGTTTTGGTGTTTGGTGTGTTCTCTTTGATTTATTGTTACTGTATGGAAGAGCCATTCTTAAAGCCCCTAATATGTTTAGGATATGTGTAAGTTTATGCTAAGGGAAGTTGGACCTTCTCCAAAAAAACCATAACCAGAATAGCGCGGATGCAATTATGAATTGCATGTATCTACCTTAAACACACACATACACACCGACAGGCATAGGAATAATCCACTTATCTCCTCCACATACGAGCATGCATAAACATTTGTGCTAGATATCAACTTTCCAGCTCTTCTTGGTGGAGTTGTGGCAGCGATAAGCCCTCACTGCATGCAGAGCAGGGGCTGATAGCAGCTCCTTGTGGTAGTGCAGGGCTCAGATATAGGCATGGGGGTGCCCATTTATATAGGGGATGTGCAGCATTATGGATGCACCCAGGGTGTTGAACCATAGGTGCTCACAGCAAAAGCAAAGCTGGCTTGCAGCCCACGAGGTTACACAGTGATGCAAAACCCCACTTTAAGAGAGTAGGAAGGTGCATGCATCTCTCCCCTGGTTTCCTTACAAATCAAGAGCAGTTTCTCTCGTGAGAGCTTCCTTCTTTTGGAATAAGCTGCATCTGATGTAAGGTGAAGTTTGCTTGGTGAGAGCAGCCAGGCTCTGGTGATGCTGTCATTGTGCTCCGGTCAGCACCAATTGTGTGTCACCAGGGGGATGGAGTGGCTGCTGTGGGGACACCTCAGCTGCCCTCACGTTCAATTAAGAGCTTTGTTGATTAGGGAGAAGCTCTGGGAAGCAGAGATGACGTTGGAAGGCAACTCCTGGTCATTAAAAATAACACGGGCCTGGAGTTATTAGACCTATCTGTTTTTTGTGTTGGAAATCTTCCCCTCTGCTCCCTCAGGCAGTGCTTAAAAGGGTTTAACACTTTATTCTGAAGGAGTTGAGCTGTAATCTGATGGAATCCCCTTAGAGTCTGCTATTTCTTTTTAATTACTTTTCCCCCCCTCTTCTTTTCTACTTTTTCTTCAACTTCTGTCCTCTTCTCGTAGCATCAGGGTGCATCAGAAGGGGCTTGATGACATGAACCTCTCTGTAGGCAAGGAATTAGAAAGCAGGCAGTGGAAATGACAGTTATAATTAGAAGAATTAGTGTTGTTCACAGACAAAATTGCCATCAGTTTATATCCTTCCATAGGTCAAAGAGGACTTCCCATTCCTGGTGATCAGTTAAGAGAGAAGAGTAATGAATTCCATCAAACAAAATAGACTTATTTTCACCATTTTACTGATGTGGCAACAACTGTGATTTAAGTGCCATGTCATCCTGTACAAAATCGACATCAAAATTAGCATTATGTCCACATCTATAAAATGTTGGAGCATGTTCTTCCACAGTATTGAAATAGGAATATTTTTGGTGCTCTAAGGGAAGGTTGAGTCCTTCTATCTTTCAGGACTTGCTGAGTTTCCCCTTTTTTTGGCCCAGTTCACTTAAATTCGTGTGTGTGTGTGTGTGTGTGTGTGTGTGTGTGTGTATGTGTTCTCTGCCACAATTCCATATGGGATCAGTTGCATGCATGTCTATAAGCCATCCCTCAATACGTTGCTGCAGAGACAGCTGTAAATCTGTACCCAAAACTTCCTACTTCCCCAACATAAGATTTATAGAGGGATAAACTCTGCAGCTTGGCCTTAAGGTGCAGTTGGGTTTCTAAACGTGACCCTAAGAGCTGCTGTCTCCCAGAGAAGCAGCGTGCAGCAGCAAAGCATTACACGAAGCCCTGGCAGCTTGGCCCCAGCCCAGAGGTATTAATGCCCCTCTCCTTCCATCCAGGTGAGGCCGTTCATTTAGCCCGGGATTTTGGGTACATCTGCGAAACGGAGTTCCCAGCCAAGGCTGTTTCTGAATACCTGAACAGACAGCACACAGACCCCAGCGACCTCCACTCCAGGAAAAACATGCTGCTTGCTACAAAGTGAGTGCCAACATGTCCGTCCCTCCCCTGGAAAAATCTTCCATTACCTTAAACCCTATGACTGAGGTCAATTTAAAGGCAGAGAGAGCCTCCAGTCCCCAAATTATAGGAGCCTCAGGGGGAGGAAGGGGTGCCCACATCATCCTGTCGATAGGGTAGCTCTTGTTGTCTGTGTGTCACTCTGCAGTGGGACAGTGTTTTCCTTATGGAAGATTCATGGGCCTGATCCCTGCATCTACAGTGTGTTTTTTTCCAAGCCATCCTCAATCCAAAAACCACCATGAGAAGGCAACAACCAAAAAGTGGGTTACTTCTACACCGTGGTCTGTCTCTCCTGCTGCTCATGCACACCTGTCAGCCTGCTACTAAATTGCAATGTCTAATCCAGATGGTTTAATTAAGAAAAAAAAAAAAAAGGGGGGGGGGGGGAGGGGGGAAGAAGAAAGCAAGGTTGGAAAATCCAACAAAAACATTGTGAACTGATAATCGCCCTCACTTTTTGTCCCCTCGACCCATTTCTCTCCATGGGGACTCTGTTGGTGGTGTTGTATGAGATGACTTGCACCCAGCCGCATCTCCTAACTGAGTGCTCAGGTCCTCAGTGGTGGTGCTGTGTTTCTATCTCTTTTGTTGGGGTGAGGAAAAGGAAAAATAAGGTAAAAGAACAGCCGAAGGAGCTCTCATTTATTTCATGCTCTGGGACGTGGCTTGCCTCCGATGACAGCGTAATTTAAAGAAATATATGGAGGGTTGAAAAATCATTTGCTCAAATTTGTCCAGATGTTTTTTAGACGTGATTGGAATTTGATTGCCCTTTTCCGCAGGGTCAGAAGATATTAATGTCCCAGAACTTTAATTGCTCGCAGACCCTGCTCTGCTCTTTGAAGATGTAAAATGTTGCACTCATTACTGTTTGTTCTCCAAATTCAAAGTTTCCTCTCTTGCACTTTCTTAATGGATAATACACATAGAAGTAGACCTTTATCTTTCTCCACCCTCTGAAACCTTTAACCCACAGGGAATTTCAGGCGTTGAGAGCTGAACTCCTTTCTTAAGTGTTTCTTTTTCATTTTTTTTCCTTTTATGTCTTTTTTTTTCCCCCTGTGCTCTTTTTTTTTTTTTTCTTTTTTTTTTTCCCCTCAGTCCCTGGGTAGGCATCTACTCAAAGAAATTATCCCATTGGGACCCCCTCCCCCCCAGCTCCCACTTTCTTACATGGCCTTGGCACCTGTTGACATGAAGGCCTTCTGGACTAGAAAGACAATGAAAAATAAAGAAGGGGGAAATCATATAAATAGTAATAATCAAATCTGATTTTCAGAAGTGTGGAAAAAAGTCAACAAGGGCCACACGTTTCCTGTGATGCTTCAATTGATCTTTGTCTCCTCAGAACAAAATAGGCAGTGCTGGTTTTGATAAGCCAGAATGGAGCTCTAGAATCCAGAACTTTCTCAACAAGTTTGTGTGGCCCAAGCAGTCTCAAAAAAGATTCCATTTAGTCCATTTACCACATCCTCAGCAGCACATGGATGTGATTTTTCTCCAGAAATGACACTTGAGATTTGCTTTGGTCCAGATGGATGGTTGGCAGATGCATGGTGCATCTCCTACTCAGCTTGGTCATTTTTGGGTGCACCAAGCAGGGTTGGGTTTTCTCAGTGCTTTGGAGATGTCCTTGTGATTGCAGGATAGATTTGTATCTCTGGACCTTCTTGCAGTCCTGCAATTGCAGAAATGTGTTTCCTGAAGAGCATCACCCTAGTTGTGGATCCTAAGCATCAGTTGAACTGGATGATCTTGAAGTTTCATTCCAACCTAGGCAATTCTATGATCATCCTAGGATGATCCTCAAGCACTGGGAGAATCATAGAATGATTTGAGTTGGAAGGGACTCTTAAAGTCTATCTGTCCCATTTCCCTGCAGTGAGAAGGGACACCCACAGCTCCATCAGCACCCATCCAGCCTGACCTTGGGTGTCCTGCAGGGATGGGGCAACTACCACTTGTCTGGACAACTTGTGCCAGTGCCTCACCACCCCAATTTCAGAGTCACAGGTTCTATGGAAATCCTAAAGGGCAAAAATGTTCCATCCTTTGGTCTGGGATCAGCTTTTGGTTGAACACACTCCTTCCTTCAACCTTGGTTGTCTCAGAGAACCATGTTAAGTGTGAGATGAGTCTAACCTCTTTTCTCCCCCTTTCTCTCCTTTTTTTTTTTTTTCTTTTTTTTTTTTTTCCCCTCTTTCTTACCTTTCTCTCTTCTATTCAGGCAACTTTGTAAAGAATTTACAGATCTCTTGGCCCAGGACAGGACACCCATTGGAAACAGTCGACCCACCCCTATTTTGGAACCAGGCATTCAGAGCTGCTTGACTCACTTCAGTCTCATCACTCACGGCTTTGGGGCTCCCGCTATCTGCGCCGCCCTCACGGCCCTCCAAAACTACCTGACTGAAGCTCTCAAAGGCATGGACAAGATGTTCTTGAACAACAACACTGCTAACAGGCACACATCTGGCGAAGGACCAGGTAGTAAAACCGGAGACAAGGAAGAGAAACACAGAAAATGAGAGGAGGAAAAAAAAAAAAAAAAAAAAAGGAAAGGAAAAGAGGAGAAAAAAAAAAAAAAAGTTAAATAAAAGGAGAAAAGAGAGAGAAAGAGATAATCTTTTAAAACAAAACCGTCTTAATTTTAGCTTTAAAAATATCGGATTGGGCTTTGGAAGAATTCTATTAGGTAGGACAAAATAATAATAATAATAAAAATAATAATAATAAAAGAAAGACGATAATTTAAGATCAGAGGAGCACAATGGCGCAAGACCAGTGGTTCAGAGTCTCTTGCCAGGAACGTGTGAAGACAACCACCAGGATTTTTTTTTTTTTTTTTTTTTTTTCCCACTTCTGTTCTTTCACATTTTTTTTTTTTAAATAATGATTTGGGGAGGGGGAGGAATCTAATAATAATTAATAATAATAATAAAAGAAAGAAATGAATAACTTATTGGAAGAAATCGGAGAAACATTTTTGGTGTCAGTGCTTTGATTTCTTGAGCTGCACGGTCTGTCTTACTCTGATTTGATTATTATTATTATTATTTTTTTTTAACGACGTCCTGTCTCCACCTTAGATAAAACAATCTTCCAGAGTGTTCTGAGCAACCCATCACCTCATCCCCCACACTTCCCATCTCATCTCACCCCTTTAGCTCTGTCTAGACTAGGAAAGGAGGGCAGGCAATGCCCAGGCTCCCCAGACCTCTCTCTTGAAGACATCACCATCAACCTCTCATGGCTGTGTCTTCGCTTAATGGCATCAGATGGGACGCTTTGAGTCATGGTAGCTCAACCCAATTAGCTCACTCTAGTTTTTAAGAATCCCATTGTTATATTTTTCCTGGTCTAGACAGACTCTCTGTTTAGATTGCCAACGTTTACAGGTGTGTATGTGTGTGTGTGTGAGTATGTGTGTGCATATGCTTATGCAGGCACATAACCCCTCGGGGTGTGCGTGTGTGCTATGTATGTTTGTACATATATATGTATATAGCTGGACATATACATATATATATCTAATATGTGTGCATCAACCACACATATTCATGCATGCAAACATACCTTTGTGATTTAGTACGATGCCTTGTCTATAATGGGTTGCAAAATTTGAAAGTAAGGTCTGGTATAATGTCAGTGCTATCTGATTTCTTAATTTCTGAGGTCTCCTCTTTCTCTAGGGAGTTTTATATTCCTAACTATGCCAATGTTTCAGTCCTTAATTTCCTCGAATAGAGTGTGTGTGAGAGATATCTTTCCCCATTTTTAAAGAATTGTTAACAGCAACAACAACAACAACAACAAAAAAAAGAGTGATATGAGTATGTAATTCTTTCTCAGGAGTATGCACTATTTTATTTTCTTCTGTTTCCTAAAGCTTTGCCCGCTTGGCTTATGAGCTTCTTCAAAGAGGACTAGAGATCCCTACACAATATATCAGGTACAGAGAAAAAAAATCCACAATTCTGATATTCTGATACTTTTTTTTGTCTTTTTTCAAATCAAAGCCAGTTGTTTCTGAATTCCGTAGGTGCACTTCTTTAAAGAAGCTCAAAGGGAATAATTGGAAGGAGATAAAACTATGAGTTGAAATCGAGGTGTGATACTGCAAAGAAAATAAGAGCTGTGTTGAATGTTACCTCGCTTGCTTTGCACCGGGGCTTTGTACCAGGGAGGAAAGGGCTGCCATGTGAGTTGGCTCCTCGTGATGGGAGCGGGGAGGGTTTGTCAGGGAATATCCTGGTCTCTCATCTCAGTCTGATGAAATCTGCTTCTCTTAGAAAGCTTTTCAGAACTGTCTTGTGACTCTTGCTTTGGAATGAGTCGATGAGGTAGGGGGAAATCTGCTGAACTCCAATGTTTTTCTCGGTGGTTTGGTGTGTGACAGGATGTCTTATGCATATGATTTGGGAGGGGTGGGGGAAGTCTGATTTCTTCCTTTTTTTTTCTTTTTAGCATATCTTTTTCTATCTTATACGGTAAAAAAAAAAAAAAAGAAAAAGCTGAAGTGTAAGGATGTGAACTGCTGTTTGGATTCTGTCCTATTGTAATTGCATGTATTTCTCAGTGGGGCAGGATTCATGCGCTAATGCATCTTTTTGCTTATGTCAGAACAGTTTCTGGGTATGTGTGGGGTAAAGCCTGGCTCTCCTGGAGTTGATGGCAGAGATTCAGTGGGAACATGGCCCCCCCTAGTATCTCTCTTAGGTTTTCAGTGCTGCGTGCCACCAAGCTGAGCAGGCACAACTGATTCCCAAAGAGTAGGGAAGAGAAGCCGTAATCTTGGTTTAAGTCCTAAATATCTTCCAGAGTAGACAATGAAGAGAAATAATTTAGCAATACACTTCTCCTTGGCCTCCAACAAAACTTTCTTAAAGCAAAGCAGATGAAACTCTTGATTTGTATCCATAACGCCCCAACTATCTTAGATAACACAGAAAAAGGAAGTATCAGCTTTCATCCCCCATGAGTTGGACATGTGGCAACAGAAGCCCAGGGATTGTCCTGCCTTGATCGGCCCCAGGGAGCACCCAGCCCTCGTGAAATGCTCATCATCCTTGGTCTCTGTGGGGCAGAGTGCTGTGGGCATTCTCACGTGAGGAGAGTGGGAAACAGAGGCAGGTGGGTTGCTGGGATGAGCTGGGATTGGCCTTCAGCTGTGGCAGCAAGCAGTGTGTTTGGCAGTTGGCAGATCCCTGCAGATGTCCCAAGAGGAAGTGTAGATCCTTGGGCAATATAGATCTCACAAAATCCCTGCTGTGATGCTGGGAACCCGTGGACTGAAGAGCAGCCCTGGCCCTCCAAAGCCTTTTCCTTGCCCATCACTGCCCTCCATCCCCCTGGATAGCAATAAACTGGATTCCAGCATATGACATGCTCTAGCAGCAGGATGCACAAGGAGGAGTAGGGATGTGGGTGGATGTCTAAGGAGAAGAATCAATGACACAACCTGAAAGCAAATCTGTCAATTGAGACTATTTTCTGAAAGCCAGCTCAGTGTCAAACATCATTTTGTCTTTGTGAGGAACACATGGATCCAAACTCTCCAACATCCCCAACCTGGGGGGGATGCTACACACCAGGGAGACAGCAGGTTAGAGCTGAGCCCTCTCCAGCTGCAGGGGCAGGGAGACATGGAAACCCACTCCTCATCACCCAGGAGCTTCCAGCTGAAGGTCTGGGGGGCCACGGGGGTGCTCCTTGGTGTTGGAGGGGATGCTGGGGGTGCTCTTTCCTTTTAAATGTGAAAGGGCAACACACCACCACTGTGACCTAATGGGGAGAGGGAACTGCTTGCATCTTCTCAGGGAAAGATCTACACGTTGTGAGGGCCTGATCCTGCTGCTGCTGACATCTTCCCTAGGTGAAGGTTTGGTCTCCTGGAGCAGGACCTAAAGCCTGGGAAAGTCAAAGGGAGAGTTTCAGTCGACTCATGGCAACTTTGGATCTGCTCTTTGTGCCTCCTACCTGGAAGAGACAGACTGCAGAGGCCAGGCTGTGCTTTGCTCAAGCCAAGATAAAATCCCCACTGCTTTCAGAAGGACTGCCCTGTTCTTCTATTCTCTTTTTTTCTTGTGCTTCCGAAGTCCAGAAGAAAAACAAAGAAACAAATAACGAGGTTTCTGAATCAAAAGCAAGCAGGGAGAAATTAGGATGTAGGAGCGTACCCATCCATCTCTGATGGGAGCATACATCTATCTCCTCCCCAGAGGACACATCCATGCTTGATGGCTATGGGTGCTGAGGGTGGGGATTCCCCACAGAGTTGATTTCAGCTACCCACTAGAAACTCTTTCCCTGTTGCCCTATTCTTTCCCAGTCCGACCACTCATGTTTGTTGGCTGGGTGGCTCGAACATTTATCTGATAATTGAGTTATTAAAAGATTCCTTTTTTCTCGGGATGGTAAATCAATAAACAGCAGGATTAACTTGGCAGCTTTGCTCTGTAACTCGAGGGATAAGTTTGAGGAGAGACTGAAAAGTTTGTTTTCAAACCAAACAGGTGGGTCGCTGTAAGTTTTATTTCATACTTAGCCTCGCTTTTCCTTTTCTTCTTTAATTACAATTCTGTTTGCTGTTAGAAAGAGCTCAGTTTTCGTCCTCTCCTCGACTTTTTTTTTTTTCTTTTTTTTTTTTCTTCCCTTTCCTGGTTGCTATTCACACAAAGTGTGAAGGAAACAAGAAGGCAATGTTATGGGAAACCTTTCACAGCACGGCAGTTTCTCTAAAACCAAGTGGTTGCATCTTGTCCCACCCAATGGAAGTTCTCTGTGAGAAGCTGCTCCGAGTCCCTTCGTATCCTGGTCCCAACCTCTCCCCATAGCCCTAAGTTTCCATGTGGCCTGGGTGGGGGATGAGAAGGATGGTGTTAAGACATTTTGCTGCCTTCCAGGGTTCACTCAATTCCCTCTCTCATATCTTTCCCATTGGTGTAACGCAGATCCATTTGGTTCGGGTTGAATACGGAGATTTTGGTGCTGGGTTTGGCAGCCCTAAGCATTGCCAGATGGATCCGGGCAAAAGTCCCTTCCCCTCTGGCTTCCCTGTGTGAAAGACCGTAGGCTTTTTACAAATAGTCTATTTTCTTATACAAAGATGAAAAGTAATAAATAAATAAGAGAAAATATCCCCGAGCGCACTGGCAAACGCCGGAACATTTCGAGAGTGGCGAAACGTTACATGC